TAGGGTTTGGAGGTGGGCGGCTAGCAGCGGGGTGGGTGGTGGCGGGCGGCTAGCGGCGGGGGTGGTGAGCCGGGTGGAGGGATCGCGAGGTGAGGCTACGATAGCGGCAGGGAGCCAGCGACACACGGGGAGTAGCAGGAGGAGAGCTACGGCAGCAGCGAGAGGATCGGTGGCGCAGGCGTAGCGAGGCTAGCGGCGGCGGCTGGGTAGCGGCGGCGACACGGCTAGGGTAGGAAGAATCGAATGGAGGCTGATACCATGTAGAAGATTATGCAACTCATGATATATTGATCGGGTGCAATATGCACGTATATATAAGTACATAGGGGAGCCACGTCCTCAACTACACATGAAAGGAGGAGGGTTTGTTGTACAAGAAATACACATGCAATATCTACATCTTAACAATAACTAAATTAAAAAAAATTGTGACTAGGAGAATTCTCATACAGTGAGAAAAATTATCTTCTTATTAAGATCTGCTAGCTAAAAAATTTCAAATACGTATCTTTTTTTGTCTCCCTCTCTCACCTCAATAATTTTTCTATGTGTATTTATTAGCTAAAATATCAGACACGTGCACCTGGGTGTGAATAGTAAATTCATTTAAAAGAGCAAACACATTCAAAAAAACTGATTTCTTTTTTGGGCATCCAAGATGTTTGAATGCGTATGTGCGTGCAAAAATCCATGGTGTTTGGACATTCGAGGAACTCTAGGAAAAAAAGAACCACCATAGTATAAAACCTTGAGGCCTCCTTTGGTTCATAGGATTGGAAAATCATAGGAATAGGAAAGTCATAGGAAATGAGATGACATGCATCTCAAATCCTATGCATAGGAATAGAAAAAGAGATGCCCTTTGATTCACACCATAGGATTTTTTCCATTGAGTCTAGGCTAATGTTTGTTTTCCTATGAAATGTGGAGGATAGGAAGAATTCCTCCATAGGAATAAGATTTCATTCCTACAAACCAAAGAGCTCTGAAGGAATTTTTTCTATAGAAATCCTATCCTATGAAAATCCTATAAAATTCCTCCAAATCAAAGGAGGCCTGAGACTGGAAATGAAATGAACATGCGTGCTTCTCCTCGATGCGGAATGAATGTTTCAGCTCGACCCTGAATTTCAATTGACTGCACGTCTGCACATGCGTGCACCGGAGCAGAACTCAAACATGTATACATTCCTGTTACAGAACAATGGACATTCGGATGGCTGGCAAAAACTATGGCTCTTTTCACCGTTACGCATGTCGCTTGCTTCTTTTGAGAAATGACATGATGTTGCTGCCATGGCTGCCTTTCTTCTTCTTGTGATGACCCCCTGCAGCAACGTGAACATCCTGCATAAAATTCAGAGGAAAAAATTCTTATGCATCAAGGTAAAAAAGAAGCATGCATCACTGAATAGCTTGCTCAATGCTTAGTTGCCTGGAAAAATGTGTGTAAACCAAAAAACTGTGGTGGTCTAGGCCTAAAAAACTTGTATAAGCAGAACAACTGTTTGCTAATGAAATTCGCGGTAAAAGCTCTACTCCCGGATAAAACGCCTTGGCTCGACTGGATCGCCTTGCAACACCCCAATGCTCTTATCACCCCACAAAACAGCCATTCCTTCATCGGCCGCACTATAAACCAGCAACTTCCGGTGCTCCATGCCATCTCCTTTGTTCTAACCCACTCTGGCACAAACACTTATTTCTGGCTAGACGCATGGATTCACCAGAAACCTCTCGCTACATTATTCCCCTGCCTTTACTCTCACACCACTCTACCCCTAGCTCGTGTGGCTACTGTTTTTAACTACGGTTTAGATTCAATCCTACGGAACCACCTAACCTCTAATGCTTCTGCCGAGTTGTGTTTTGTGCTGTCTCTCCTGCAAGATTTCCAGGTGTCGCCTGGGCCAGACGAGCGCTACCTAAATGGTGGCCTGTGTTTCTCCACCAGGGCCGCCTACACGCTCACCATGGCTGACGCCTCGGTCAATGACGTGCATGCCATTCCAATATGGTCTTCATGCGTTCCAACCAGGTGAAGATCTTTGCATGGCTGCTGTTCCGAGATCGACTCAACTCCAAAAGCAACCTACTCCGCAAGCACATGGTCGCTGACTCACTATGTCCACGTTGCGGGTTCAATGGTGAGACACGCTCGCACATATTCATCGACTGCCCACTCGCGCAACGGATATGGCAACGGATTGGCATTTGCCCCTCGGCCACCGTTGAAGATCTTTGGGACTGTCGTCTCCTCTCTCAGCTAGATGCGGCCATCTGGCACTCTAACGCAACTGGGTGGGCTCGTCTAGGTGTAGTTTTTGCGATCATAACGAAAATATCAAACACCTCTTTCTCGATTGTCCGTTGGCTAAGATTCTGTGGCGGTCGATTCATGTTGCGTTTAATATTAATCAACCCACCTCTATCAACATGTTATTTGGAACATGGCTTGATGAGGTTGATTCTGATACTGCAAGACACATTCGTGTTGGCATTTGTGCTTTATTTTGGGCAGTATGGAACTGCAGAAATGATTTAGTCTTTAACAGATCAACAAACATTCACTTTTTGCAGGTTATCTTCAGGGCCACGGCGTTCATCCGTATGTGGTCGCTACTCACTCCGACGGAGGCCAGGGAGCGTTTGGTTACTGCGTCTACCTGATGGGAGATGGTAGCTCGGGATATTTTCAACCGGTTTGGATGGCGGTCATGTAATAGGATAGACATGTAGTGCTCCTATTGTATTTGCCAGCCGGTTGTGGCTTTGGGTCTTAGCTCTTTTGAGCTTTTGTTTATTTTCGCACTACGATCTTTGGAGACTTTGTTACTGGATTATCTTTTTAATAATATGAGCCGTATGCATCTTTCTGATGCAGAGGCTGGGGTAAACCCTCTTTTTGAAAAAAAAATCCTCCTCATTATTCTATGGAAGATCTGGGACTCGAGAAATGCTATGACCTTCAAGCAGCAAAACCACCACAGTACCCTCACCCTTAAGAGAATCATTGATGATCTCATGCTCTGGACACACAGGATGAAGAAAACAGAGCAAAAACAGGCCGCCTCCTCATGGCGTTCCTACCTCTTATCACGATTACACATGCCTATGTAATTTCACCTTGTAATCAGTCGAACGATGGGTTACAAACATTGAGAAATATATTCAGGTGGGGAGCTCCCCCTCCGGTGATTTTTCAAAAAAAACTGAATAGCTTACACACTTGGCAATGTCGTGTTGATTTCTTGGTGTAGATGTGTCTACAGCACATATTTCTGTAGTATGGTATAATATAGGAATACCTCTGCTCTGAAGGAAAATGACCTCGCTGTGGATGCTGGGTTTCCACCGTCTGCACCCGCCACGGCATGCTCCCTCCCTAATAAGATCACCATGGCATTAGCCACACGGTAAATCAATCATGGCGATATGAAAAGAGTAAGCTTAAAACAAGTGGGAACAACTTGCTATGTTATTAGTAGTTGAAGGGATGCTAAAAAATGTTACTCCCTCTGATCCAAAAAAAGTGTCGAATTTGAACTAAAACCACGACACTCATTTTGAATCGAAGGGAGTATATAAAGGGGGAATTTTGATCAGCTATAATGATTGGGATCCTTCTTCATAGTAGCATGGAAGCAGAATAGCTTTACGGTGCCAAATACTCCACAATTGCTCATAATATGTTTCATGTCGCAATTTTTTTTACCGATGGTTGATTCAGCATCATATGGCTTCAGAGTGCGAGTAGCTCCTGGCGCCACTGTGCTATTGAGCTTGAGGGGTTCTTCTGGGTCATCTCTGCTGTGTGGAAACGCTGCTAATGTCATACAGTGATACAAATTGCAGACCACAGGTACAAAGAAAGAAAGAGTGAAAGAATCTAAAGTAACAGGTAGCGAATAAACCTTGACTTGGCAACATTTTCCTGGTTGTTTCTTTCAGTAGCTGTAGTGGAAAGTGTAACTAGTCAGTAAATCATAGCAGAGCTGAAGCATTTTGCATGTTCATCATATAAGTCAAAAAGTTTGAAAACTGTACATTGGGAAAGGTAACGGCGATGATATTGAACGGCGCCAGCGTCCGCACGAACGGCCAATAGTTGGAGAGAAATTGCATACTGTTCGCATGTCAAGAGCCTCTGGTAACATCAAGAGAGCAAACAAAAGTTCAGTGAGCATAGCAGGGTTTCGGTCGATATCAACAGTCAAGCTCAACTTTGTAAGTCAACCGGAATAAGGAAACAAGTGGTGCATACTAAATTAGAACAGAGACGAATTCCCAAGCCAAAGAGCACCCAAAGTATCTGAAAACTAACCAGTGTGCATGTACCCTCTCAACTTTCAACTGTTACTTTATCATCATCATAGATATGGCTCAGTGTTTAATCCAAACTGTTTCTGGTAACTACACCAGATATTCACATAATTTGTTTACAGCTACAAGTGGAGAGAATACCCAACCTGCTTCAGGAAGCTGATCTTCTGCTCTGTTTGCATGATCTCAGTCTTGTCCTCCAGCTGGTGCTCAAGCTTGGATGAAACGGTCCCCAGATGATCAATCACTGCCACTACCGCGTTGCAGATGTAGCTCTTTGTACTGTCCAGGATTCTTCACCACCATGCGCAGGAAATAAAAGTTACACGCTGCCATCAAATTCCACCACCAAACAGGGAAGACAGAAAATGTATTGAAGTGAGAGAATCGATGGAAGTGCTGCGCTCACAGCCTCTTCTCCTCGGTGGCGAGGAACGCCTTCTCGCAGCAGTCCGCCGCCTGGTGCAACTGCGACTGCAGATCCTTGAGCTCCTGCAAACCCGAGCGAACGCGCCGGACGACACGCAAGCTTTAATCAGAGGCGCGCACTTGACACGGGATGGTTGGGAGAAGAACCACTCAACTCTGAGCGCGCCGTCGAAGCTCTGGGGTGCTGCGCCGCCCTTCGCGCCGAGACCCGACGACGACGACGACCTGCCGAACGGCGCCGCGGGGCCCGTCGGCGCGCCGGAGGGAGGCGTCCCCTCCTGCCGCCCCGCCTCGCCGTCGCCGGCGCTCCCCGCGTCCATCTCGCACGCCAAGAACAACGACGGGCACGGGAGCGACAGAAGAGCGCTGAGGATGACGACGATGAGTGATGGGAAATGGCGTGTGCAGACGCGCGCGAAAGTGGCGTTCGGGGCGCAGGAGAACGTAGGGAGCAAGAGCAACGGGACAAGGCGCGGCAGGCCGTCTCGTGATCCCTCTGTGGGGGTGGCGCGCTCCGGGTCAGAGGCGCCGAGCGCTTGGACGGCGCGCTAGCGTGCGCCGCGCTCGTCACGGGCGAAGCGTACGCCCGGGTTCTTGCGGCGTCCCTTTCGAGGAGATTCTGAAGGTGCAGTAATTCGGAGAAAGTTTGGCGTCGAGCCTACGGCTGCGTCGTCCGTCGTCGGTTTTAACGAGGGTCTGGTGTTTCTTTGGTCGTTTAGAGCAACTTCAATGGAGCGACCCAAACGGACGGCGCATTTGTTCGCTTTTTGTCTGTTTGGGTCGGCCGCCCGCCCGGCGTCTGTCCATTGCATTTGGGTCGGCAATGCGCCCAACGTGCCGATCCATTTCATGTCCGCATTCAATTTTTAAATTAAAAAAAGTTCGCGGTAGATCATGCCAGTGGTCATGTCTTATGCCGGCACCATGTCAGCACCGGCATACAATGCCGACTTCAGAAAATACCACAGTTCCTGCTGGCGCACTCGCTCGCCAGCCGGCCGGCACACATGCTAGCACACAAAAAATGGTGAGACTTGGAGTTCGACCACGCCACCGCGGCTCCCGTGGTCATGCCGGCACACCTGCCGGCATACAAAAAGATGGCCCTCGACGCCATAGATCAGTCGTCCTGAAACTTGAGCATGTCTGTCTGCATCTTCTCGAACCACGGCCTTTTCCATGGCGACAAGGCGTTGAGATCCACCTTCATGATCTCCACCCCGGTCATCATGCTTGCAAGCGCCACTTCTTTCGCCTTTGTCTTGGCGTTGGCGGCCTCGATCTCTAGCATCTTGGCTTGCTTCTCCGCCTTGAGCTCGAACATCTTAGCTTGCTTCTCGGCGTCAAGATCAAGCCTCCTCCTTTGGATCTCCATGAAAGCGCTCATTTGCTCTTCTTTGAAACACCGGCGCTCCTCCTCCCTTGAGTCCTTCTTATTCATCATGCCGTCCACGCTTGCGATCAAGGCGTTGGTGGCCGCATCTCGCTTGTCCTCCTTCTTGAAGTTGGTCCTCCCCCGCGGCCGTGCCGACCCGCCCTCCCCAACATCCTCCACGGCGCCCTTCCCCCCACGTGTCTTGAGCGCGGCATATTGTGCCTTGAACTTCTCTTCGTCCTTGATGACACGATAGCAATGGGAGAGGTTGAAGCACTTGCCATTGTGTTGAACCTTGAATGCCTCCAAAGCTTGAAATGCCTACAAAATGTTTCCATGCAAGCATATGGGCAAGTGATAGCAAATGAAGACGTAAAAAAATGATCTTGATGGCACAAAAGAGGCCGACTTGCTTGCTATCATACCATGTCTTGCACGCCGATGCCGCTCACGGGGCGGGCCTTGACGCTCTCAAGGGTGACACAAAACTTGTTGCACTCTTGTTGGATTACCCTCCAACGCTTGGAAATGGAGACCCACCCGCGCGTGCTCACAAATTGGTAGGGTGGAAACTTCTTGCGCTCATGAAACTCGCGGTGCACACGAGTCCAAAAGATTGAATGCTTTTGCTCGGCGCCCATCTTTGGGTCTTGTCCAATGTCTCGCCAACACTCGCATAGAAGTTTGTCCTCGGTAGCTGTGTACGCCTTCGTGCGTTTGCTCTTGCGCTTCGGCTTCGGCTCGGCGGCTTGGTTAGCGAGCTCGTCCTCGAACAAAGGCTCCACTTGATGTCGCACTCGTCCTCTTACTCGTGGTCGAGGGGGAAGCCGTCCAGGTCGACGCCGACCTGATCACGCATGAAGGCCGCCTGATAGGGATCATAGCCAGCGGCTGGCGTGAACGCCTCGCGGCCGTCCTGGCTTTGCGTCTCCTCAGGATCGTAGTCAGCGCCAGGCGCATCACCCTCGAAGATGAGGTGTTGCATGTAGTCCTCGTCGACGGTGTACGACATTTTCTCGAACAGGTTGCGGGCGTCCGGGAGACCGCCGGCCGGCGTCTGTCGCGCGCGTTTCCTCGCGCCGCCGGACGACGAGCCACCGACCACCGTGGTGGCGTTGAGGTCGATGGGCGCGGGCGCGGGTGTGGAAGGCACGACCACGCTCATGTCGGGTGAGCACTCCCCGGTGAGGCGGGAGGCCTGCGGGTAGACGTGGAAGCCGGGGACCGGGTTGCAAGCCGACGCGCGGGGTGAGTCGGGCATCACCATCCGAGGAAATGCTGACGAGCCGGTGCTGGCCGCGGCGACGGCGGCTTGGACGAGGTGGTGCTGGCTAGGGTTTACCCCAAGCATGTAAAGCACCTCCCTCGTTACAGCGGCGATGGCCTGCACAGCGGCCTCATCCCTCGCGTCCGCGGCGTGCCTCCTGCCCTTCCTCTTGGCCGTCTCCCTTGCCCGCTGTTCGGGCGTCAGCGCCTTCTTCGGCTTGGCCACCGCGGCGGTCTTGCGCGGGGCACGAGGCTTGCCTTTCCCGGAGGAGGCGACGGCGCCGGACGAGGCGAGGGAGGCGAGGCCGGCGGTGGCGTCGAGGTCGAGGTCGATGGTGTCCTCCATCGCTGGTTGGGGGCGGGGGGCACGCGCTGGCGGGAGGTTTTTGGAAAAATGAGGAAAAATGGTTGTGGCTGACACCGATAGGCGGGCCCGAGAAGAGGAATAGGCGCGCGCGCGTCCGTCTCGTGTCCGCGCCAACGCAAATCCGGCTTAAAAATGGGCATGAAATGGCTCGCCCGCAGACGAAAAACGGACGCGCTATCTATTTAGGTCGGCGCGTTGGGCCGCCACTTTTGTCCGCACCGATCCAAACAGACGCAAGCGGACGAAATGGGTCGCCCCATTAAAGTTGCTCTTACTGCCGACTGTAACGGAAATCGATGAATATCCCGTGGATACTGGGTGAAGTGAATCGTCCCCCAACCCAAGAAAGTCGCTGCCTTCTTTATACGTACACAAGAGTCATTTCTGGGTTTATTAACACGGTACAGATGCAGATGTCTAGGCGCCTTCGTAATCGATAAGAATGTTTCGTTGTTCTGAATGAGCATAGCAGGAAAGTCTGAAAAGGATTTTGAAAAATGCAGCAGCGGTGTCAAGTCTAGGATCAGCACCTCTGATGAACTGGTTCCATCACAAGGAATCTAATTATTTGAGTTACGCTCAGTTTATCGTTTCGGTTTTTCTATAAAAAATGCTATTGCGCTGACATTCACTAGAATAGGATGACAAATCAAATGCTTTTATGGTAATTTATATTATTGCGAGGAGGACAATTTCTTTTAATAAGTACGACAAAACCTAGTAAGAAATTGAACTCGGGCAAATTTGCCATGCTTATCTTCTCTCTCTTTTTTAGAAAAGGGGGATGACCTCCGGCCTCTGCATAGAAAAAGAGATGACCCCCGGCCTCTGCATCTGGGCGATGCATACGGCCACTTTATTAATTATTCTTACAAGCCGACTTCTAAGCAACAAATGTCGCTACACCTATCCAGTTGATGAAGGGGCGCAGATAGCCTGGGCCTAATACCAAACAGACATCGCAGCCAAGCCTAACATCTAGGACCTGAGACCCCAACCTAGCCACTTGCCAGGTCTGGGGCACACACTGGTCCAGCGTGCTATCAGAGGCCGCCACCGCCAACTGCCACCGCTCTATATTCAGAACTGTACAGATGCATCAACCTTGCTCGGTCTGGTTATCATCGACGCCACCACGGCGCCCAACTGCACCTCCTCCCTGCGCGCAAACAGTTGACCACGCCGCGGTCGCCACTGATACACCTCAGCGCCATGCTACTGTTGGGGAACGTAGTAATTTCAAAAATTCCCTACGCACACGCAAGATCATGGTGATGCATAGCAACGAGAGGGGAGAGTGTTGTCCACGTACCCTCATAGACCGAAAGCGGTAGCGTTAGCACAACACAGTTGATGTAGTTGTACGTCTTCATGATCCGACCGATCAAGCACCGAACGCACGTCACCTCCAAGTTCTGCACATGTTCAACTCGATGACGTCCCTCGAATTCCGATCCAGCCGAGCTTTGAGGGAGAGTTCCGTCAGCACGACGGCGTGGTGATGATGATGATGTTCTACCGACACAGGGCTTCGCCTAAGCACCGCTACGATATGACCGATGTGGATTATGGTGGAGGGGGGCACCGCACACGGCCAGGAGATCCAAGGGATCAATTGTTGTATCTATGGGGTGTCCCCCTCCTCCGTAAATAAAGGGGGAGGAGGAGGGGTCGTCCAAGGGGAGGAGGCGCGTCCAAGGGGGGCAATCCTACTCCAAGTAGGTTTTGCCCCCCTTTCCTATTCCAACTAGGAGAAGGGGGAATGAGGAGGTGGAGAGAAGGAAGGAGAAAGGGGGCCCGCCGACCCCTTCCCTTTCCCAATTTGGATTGGGGCAAGGGGGGCCACGCGCCACCTCCTGCCGCCTCTCCTCATCCACTACTTGGGCCCATGAGGCCCAATAACCCCCCGGGGGGTTCCGGTAACCCCCCGGTACTCCGGTATATATCCGATAACCCCCTGAACCATTCCGGTGTCCGAATATAGTCGTCCAATATATCAATCTTCATGTCTCGACCATTTCGAGACTCCTCGTTATGTCCGTGATCACATCCGGGACTCCGAACTACCTTCGGTACATCAAAACACATAAACTCATAATATAACCGTCATCGAACTTTAAGCGTGCGGACCCTACATGTTCGAGAACTATGTAGACATGACCGAGACACGTCTCCGGTCAATAACCAATAGCGGAACCTGGATGCTCATATTGGCTCCTACATATTCTATGAAGATCTTTATCGGTCAAACCGCATAACAACATACGTTGTTCCCTTTGTCATCGGTATGTTACTTGCTCGAGATTCAATCG